TTCTTTGTCCACAAATATCGATCTGTCCTGAATTTATTGTTCTTTTTTTGTTTTTTAATTATATTTTATTTGCCTTCCTGTTTCCTTTTTGTTTCCTGTTTGTTCTAAAATATATTCCAATATAAAGTTTTCTTTCCTGTTCTGTCATTGCCAAATTGCCTGTTATTCAATCATTTTTTGTGAACTTTCCAGGTACGACTGAATTTAGTCGAACGTTCCTGAGAGAAAAAGCGATCGGCTGTTTCGCATAAATCAAGTTTGGCAAGACAGACAACAACTGCGATGACAAACCTGTTTCTCTTCTGCAGTAAATGAGCGGCGGGGGTGTGTGTGTGTGTGTAATGTCATAAGCGCATGTACCCTCCCGTCCTTCTTTTTATTCTAGGGAAACACACAAAACTATGCAGATTATGATAAAAAAGACAATTTACATGTTGAAACGAATAAAGCTGATATTTACTATCTTTAGCTTTAGTCTGACACAAACATAGAATGATATAATGAGTACTAAACTAACAGCTCTAAGAAATGATCTGGAAGATCTGGTCTACTGCAGATGACTTACGAATAAGATATAATCCATGAATATTATTTGGTATGTATCTGTGACCATTTGTATATTTAGGTAGCGGATATTTGTCATTGCATATTAGTTAAAGCCCATAGACAATGTGACTAAAATATTCAATTTAGTTTGGAGGTTTATTAATTTTATTATGATAAGCGATTCAAGAATCTTAACATTGTATATTATAAGCATATTAACTTGAATTTGGAGTATAAACAGCAGTCTATATTCATTAATATGAGCACGAATGGTCACAATCCCACAATGAGAAAGAAAATTCATAGATAATATTTTTCTTTTATGTGTAGTGTCTTTTCTGGACATGGGCGATCATGGATCTCCACAACTTCTTATGCTTTGTCGCCCTAAACAATACTTGTCCTCCCTCCCAGTCCATTTTCTGTCATTCATTTGCTAGGTAGGTTACTCGTTGTCTCCTACCTTCAGTATGTATTATCAGTGTCAAATATTCCAAGCCTATTATCCTCATTATGTGCCCCCAAAATTTCAACTGTATCTTTTTGATCCTAAGCACAAGTGTTCTTTTCATTTTCCATATTTTTCCTAAAAGTTCCCTGATGTTCTAATGTTCGTCCATGGAATTATGATCTTTGTCTTGGTCAATGGAATCAGTTAAAGACATGATTATCAGATGTCTTTATTTTTTTCTAATGGAATTCAAACATTTTATCATGTTCAACTGGAAATGTGTGACTTTTTTCCCTCTCGTTTTCAATATTGATGCTTTATTTCGATTTATTGTGCTTTTTTTTAAAATACTAATTTTCATTGATATTTATATCATTTTCAGTTTCCTTCAAAGTCAATTTTGTTTGTCAACAACATAATTAAGCAAACTTTAATAAGTATATTTGCTTATGATTACTAAGATTTTGTTTTTAATACACACATACATACACATATATGTTTGTGAATGACCACAAAAGTGCAGAATCTAGTAAGAATCGATCTCACTAGTAAATCAGCTTTTAAACAAAGTTACTAGTCACGGCTCTACGATAGGTACATTTATGTGTGTATGCGTGTGCGTTTGTGTGTGTATGTGTGAATTGAAAAACTTTCTTGATTTTCATATAAGAAAAAACAATTATTCATCAAACTTGGCAAAATCATGCGACTTGAGAAAGTCTATATTTCTGAGATGAGGTGTTATATACATTATTTATATTATTTGGACTATTGTCCTCATCTTTTCTAACGTTTCGGCCGTTGTACGCTCTGGCCTTCTTCAGGTGGTTGGAATGTAGAACTTAACTCTTTATTTCGCTCACTGGGGTAGACTGTTAATTCCCCTCTCAAAATTGTCCACTGCCTTAACTCACACTCTTTGGGTCCTCTCACTGGATCTAACCAACGCCTTTATCCACTGTGCCATGTGTCTTTGATGACATCTGTGTATGAATTTCTGGGTATTATAAATCTAATGTCTTCAGCAGCCATTTTTACCAGTGCTCATATTGAATTTTTTTTTTTGCTGTTATCATTGCATGTTTTTTGCCAGAGCTCATATTGCAAGATGAGGACAATAGTCCGAATAATGTAAATAATGTACAAGAAGATTGTGTTGGTCTAACATTTTAAGCAGGAAATGGTTGCTGGCCCTGAAAATCAGCATTTACAATCATTGCTTTTCCTTAGTTTTGAACCTTGGATTTAACCGGATAAATATACAACCCATTTGTGTGACGATGATCCTCTTTGAAGATTAAAGGCGAAAAACAATAAGATTTTACAATATAAATGCAAGTGTTTTTATATCATATTCGCTTACTTGAATCTACTTAATGGCTGAAATAGTTGTGTCTTTCCCACATAGGCCATTGTGTTCATGGTTAGAATTTTGAGAAAATTTCTACTAATTAGAACACTGGCACAAGACAATATTTCTACACCCTAGTTACCCGGATATAACATTTGTGCTGAACTAAACTTAGTTTAATAAATATTTGTATTATTTCGTTTATTGTAATCTGAGACCATAAAACTGAAGGTTTTCCGCCCTTTGCTACAATCATTGGATAGCTTACATGCCTTAAATTCTCATCACAGAAGCCATTACAATTCCAAATATGTTACTGGTAGGCGTTGGGTAAAAGTCCTGACGTGTTTTCTCATCAAACAAAAAAACTATTGTATGGCTTGGCCAGTCAGAAAGCAGATAGTAAAAATCATTGTCCAATTTTTTATTCAGGGTATTCTTCTTTGAGCTGAATGTATTTCGCTTCAGTCGAGTGCTCTTTTTTTAAAATCATTTTACCCTAAACAAGGGGATAAAGCCACTAAGATGCAAGTGGTGGTGGGGGGTTACTGAGAGTGAAATCAACTGAGAAAACTTTATTGAGAAGGAACAGTATTCGCGGAGACAGAAGATGACAACTGACATTGCTTTACATTTTTGAAGCTCGTAGTTGACAGTAAAGCCAAGAAACCGAAGAGAGTTTCACAGGCGACAGGAAGAAGCCATCAAAATTCGTTTAAACAAAACCGAGTAAAACCTTTTTTTTTTTTAATTCGACTGGTTCGAGTCGCCCCTGTCTTGCTGGATCAATTACAATTGACTAATGAATTCGATGCCCACTGTATGCTCATACTTACGGCCATGTGCCTTTTTTAAACTACACTTGCTAATTCATAATGTATTTGAGTACTACAGTGGTTAGCAAGCTTGGCTTACTAGATCAATTACGACTGAGTAGTGAGTTCGATTCTCACTGCGCTACATACTTACGCTATATCTAAACTACTCTTAGTAATATATATATAAAACTTTGGTTGCTCTATACTTGCGCCCTTGTGCCATATCTAAGCTGCGTAACCTATTTCTCTTGATCAATTACGACAGTAGAAAGTTTGCTCGTCACTGGGCGCACCATACTTACGGCATTGTACCACATTTAAGCAACGCTTGATAAATCACTATAAACGTTCTCTTTGGGTACTTAGGCCTGGTGCAACGGTTAGCAAGCTTGTTTCTCGAGATCAATTACGACTGTGTAGAAAGTCCGCCTTAAAAAATAGTGGCTATAAATGCCCTGATATTAAATATAGAAAACATAATAGTGATAGCCGGAAAAAATAGAAATAGAAAAATCATTTGGTACACACCCCCATTTAACCAAATAGTTAGCACTAAATTAGGCCAGAAGTTTCTCAATTTAATTGAGAAACATTTCCCTATCAACAATCCTCTAAGCAAGGCTTTCAATAAAAATATGCTTAAATTAAGTTACAGTTGTACTGATAATCTAGAAAAAAATATTAAAAACATAATAATAAAATTTTCAATCAACACTTAAATCAAAGTAACAATAGTTAGTCCAAAACAGAAATTAATAATAATGATAATAAATTATGTAATTGCAGAAATCCTAAAAATTGTCCATTGCAAAATAGTTGTCTTACTGAATGCACCATTTAATCTAATGTAAACCCGGCTGTTAATAAATTTTATATTGGTAGTACCAAACCCCCTTTAAACAGAGGTGGTATCAGCATATATCTTCTTTTAAAAACGATGCGTACTGAAACCGAACATCCCTTTCTAAATATTTTTGGAATTTAAAAGGAATTAATAAAACTCCTACCGTAATATGGAAAATATTAAAAAAATACAACGAGAATTTGTAAATCCTTAAATAACCCATGTCTCTTGTGTGTACATGAAAAGCTGCATATTATAGTTTCCTAAAAATAAGGTCCTCCTAAATCAGAGAAATGAATTAACACTAATTTGTAGGCATTGTATATTGTTTACTTTAAAATATAGCATTACAATTCATATCCATCATTTTATATTATGGTCCACATAATATTTTTTTTATTTAATTCTTTGCTTTTTCAACTTTCAATTTCCTCCTAATCATCCTTACATCATCTTCTGATACTGTCCCAAATAATACACTCAATTCCTTCCCTACAATAGGTAGTATAGTTCTTTTTTTTCTAGTCTGTAATAGCTCTGCCTCCTTCAGGTATAGACATATCTTTCCATTGTCTATCAAGTATCAGGGATTCTTGGACCAAAGGATACATTATACGGTGATACTCCTCATTCTGTAGATAATCCTGAGCTATTTGTGTTCTAGCCCTACCGAGCTTTGTTATTCCCATTTCTAAACGAGCTAATAACTCTTTGTATGGTTACAAATCTATCACTAGGTTTATCAACCATTTGATCTAGTTTTGACTACCTCATTAATCTTTTTAAATACAGTATTTTCGCTACACTCCCAGGCACTTACTGTCAAAATCAGCGCCAACGCTATCAGTGGTCTTACCATGACCATACCTGCAATGAGATAAATATGAGGGCACACTTTTACTCTTACATTCCCTTCTGTCGCTTCTTATGATCATCGATTTGCATAAGCACCCGGTGAAGTAATCCAGTTCACAGCCAGCGGTGTCACGAATGCAATGGGGGCCCTTCTACGCACCGGCTATCACCGATAACCGCAGTCTGGTCCACCTCTCTGGCTCTTCTGTAGGTATCTTATCAATCTCGTTTCTATTCTGGGGATTTAGTTCTCTCTGCCCCTCTTAGTCGTAGCTTTATAGGTAATTCTACGTCCTTTGATGCTTTTTCGGTTTCTAACCGTTCTTTCAACTGGGCTAAAGGAATCTCATCCTCTTCTTCTCAACTATCCGACCCATCACTATTCATCTTCAGTGCACCATCCGCCTCATTACCTTCCTGAAAGGAGCTACTTCCACGAGTGTCGATCCCCTTTATTTTCTCCAAACTCTCTGGGGTAATCATAATTTCCTCCTCTCCTTCTTCGCTGCCTCTAATTCTTCGGGTTCAACCAAGGATGCCCTTCACATTCCTCTGTTCGCTCTTCTCTCCTTAGCTCCTTCTCATTCATGCACTTATTCACATAATTCAATATATTATTATACAGTCTACACCAAAAATAATTCTTGACTATTAATTAATAGGTTCTATCAGCTTCGATGTATCCTACCTTTTCATGACACTGGGCTAAGATTTCTTGTCTTAGTATTTTTGGTACTACTATTTTGAAACTTCTTTTTTCCTCTCGTCCCGAAATGTAATTCAACACTCCATTGTGTATTACATATTTAGAGGTAGTCCCTGCTTCTACCTTACTCCTCAGAGAAGTAATTTCGCTGTCTCCCTGATTCTTTTTTATGATAGCTTCCCAATGAGGGTTCTTAATAATTTCTTCTTCTTCTTCTTTTTCTTCCTCCCAAACTGGTCGTTTGCTTAGAGTGTGAGAATTTATCACATTAACTTGATAGGCCCTGCCGTCCACCCCTGGTTCTAACCTAATGGATTCGGACACTAATCTTTCTGCCATTCTTGATAACAGATCTGCACAGGTATTATCCTTTCCAGATAGATACTCTATTTTGCACTGATAGCCACTAAGCTTCAATGCTCACAGCTGAATCTTATTTGTCCACTATACCTCTAATTAATGTTTGAGGGGCTTATAGTCAGTTTTAATGGTAAACACGGCCCCACTTAAGTAATAATCTAATTTTTGTACTGCATATAAAATGGCAAAAGAGTTTCCTTTTCAATCTCTATATAATGGCCATCTCTTCTGGGTCTCTTATCAGGACCAGGCTGGGTAAGTACCGCGCCGATTTCATTTGTCACTGGCATCTGTGTAAAGCACCATCGGCTTGCTCAGGTCTGGGTAAGTCAGCAAGGGTACTGCTGTCAGCTGGTCCTTGAGGGTATCAAAGGCTCGCTGACAGTCCTCCGTCCACTTAAATCTAGCATACTTCTTAATAAAGGCTATCAAGGGTCCTGCTAATCTGCTAAACGCAGGCACAAAACGCCTGTAATATCCAATGGCTCCTATAAAGCCACGAACCCCTCTCACTGTCTTGGGCTCCGGCATAGCCCTTATCACTTCTACCTTATTTAAATCAGGTTTTATTTCCGTTTTGTTTATAACGAAACCCAAGTATTTGGTCTCATCCTTCATAAACTGACACTTAAGCAATTTTAATTTCTCTCAGCCTATCAGACACCTTCTGTAAGGGTCTAAAATGCTCTTCGGGTGTCTTAGAAAACAACATGATATCGTCCAGGTAAGCCATGGCAAAATCTTTAATACCTCCTAACACTATGGACATTAACTGAGTAAATACACCTGGGACATTAGATAACCCAAATGGCATCACACGAAAATTAAATAGACCTATATGATAAAAACTGTCTTCTCCTGGTCCTTTTCATCAAAGGTACCTGCCAATAACCTGGTCTTACATCCAAAGTAGAAAACCAGGTTGACATTCCAAAAAGTGCTAGAATATTATCGATCCGGGGCAAAGGTACCGCTAACGGTCTTGTATGGCATCTGTCTAAAATCCACGCAAAATCTATGTCATCCATCCTTCTTTTCCACAATAACTATTAGAAAACTCCATGGGAACCTAGATATCTCTATTACTCCCTAGTCCAACATCTCATTTACTGCTTCTTCCACTAATTTTCTCTTATGGATTGGGGTCCTATAAGGCCTCAATCTAATGGGTAGGTGGTCACAAGTGTCTATTTTCATACGCACTGTTCCAGTCTGTCCCAACTTCTTGTCAGTATTAGCTACCACATCTCGATTAGCTTCTAGCAGTTTCCTTATCTCATATTTATATCTTTCGGGCACTATCAAGTCTTCTTCCTTTATTTCGGGGCTACTAGTCTCTACTCTTCTTCCATAGTTTTTGCTTACTCTCACTGGCTTCCAAATTTTTATCGGACAGGCGTAACCTAACTATTCTCCATGTTTTATTATAATAGTTTCACTGGCTGTATTAACTAACAATAGGGGCACCGTTTTCATCCCTTCTGCCACAGAACTACACGAGTTCATCTCTTTTTCACCATTATCATACCTCTCTTATTTGATATAACCCTTCCGTTAGTTTCTGCACTGTCTTTAGCTTTCCTTCACATGAAATAGCCATTCTAGGGGGAAGTTTCACATCGGTCTGGGCCACTATGGGGCATTTCCTTTCCACTTGATTCCCCAATAGGTTTTCCACCCTTCTAAGATCAATGTAGTCGGGTCAAAGTGGATTTGGGCCTTGTTCAGCCTAAGTCAGTCACTCCCCAAAATTAATTCCCCACACAAATCAGGTGCCACATACACCTTAATTTCACCTGTGGTCCTTGCCAATTTGAATCGTAGCCATGTCATACCCTCTATTCTTATCTTCCTGGCTAATTAAGAAATCCACTGCTTGGAGTTTTCTACGTAACCCCAGCTGTCTAAACACCTTGGAATTTATTAGGGAGACCGAAGATCCAGTATCCACTAAAGCTTTTACCGTCTTGTACCCAACCAATATATTACAGGTGAAGTCCAGTCGCTCTTTAAACAGCTGAAATATCTGGGCTCTGTTCTTATTCCTCGACCTCCCCTTATTTTTCATTCCCGGTCGGCTATCCCTATCTCTCTCAAGTCTCGACCTGGGTGGGTGCAGGCAATAGGGGTTCATCATTCGCTACCCTAGGCCAGCTCCTTTTGGGGCTTCCCTTGGGTGGAGTGGGGACTGGTCCTCTCGACCTCCTTGACTCTCCCCTTTCACTCTCAGCACACTTTTCATTCGGACAGTTACTTCTCAAGTGTCCAACCTTTCCACATTGCCAAAAGCTCCGCCATTTACAGTTACTGAAAAATGACCAGCCACATCGCATGTCCAGCACTTCAGAGATCTTATTTTTATTGGGGCCACCCTGCCTCATTTCTCTACAGGGGTCCCACTGTCGTTTTCCGAACGCTTATTCTTCTCGGGGTGGGGGGTACTAGAATGTCTATTTTCTTAATCCCTAGTCTCCTATCCCCTGCATCTGTGCACCACTTTGCCTTGTGGCCCAAGCTTTCGCACTTAGTGCAATTCAGACCCAGTGACCTGTGTCCTCCATACTCTCAAGTCCAGCATAACAGCCCGTACCGATCCGGAGTGGACTTATAAAATCCGTACCGTATACACAATTCCTTCTTGTTTTGGCCGGCCTCCCAATCGTCCTCAATCGCGTCCTTACGGGGTTTTATGTTCACTATTCTATTTCTGCAGCTTTTCTCTGCACCCTTCCAACCCCTGGATCTTTGGACTCTTTGGTCTCTTTTGTTTATTATCCTTTCCCAGATCCTCTCGCTATTTTTAGCTACCTACAGGGCCCACCCTTCAGAGGTCACCTCTCACGTCATCATCACCGATGGCGTCCATGAAAGCGTCAGCTAACAACGCCTGGATCTCTTCCTTTTCTCTTATTTCCGGATTTGGGAATGCTAACCCCGCTAATCCCGTCATCATATCTCCAAGGTCTTCTAGAGTTTCTCCTACTTCCTGTTTAATCCTAATTTTTTTCGAACAGACTCTATGATTGTTCGCTCACTAGCATATCGTCTGATTAGGGTCCCTTCAGCTCGTCGCATGTTATCTGTGGGTTTTTCCTGTATTTTGAGACTGGTTCCACTGCTGCCTCATATGCCAAAAGCACCATCACCCGGTCTGTAAACCCGTATACCAGCTGTTTCTTTTGTACAGTTACCAACCAATCATGAAATTGCCTCGATAGGAGGGTAACTTCATCCCACCCAACAGACTCCTAAAGGCCACCGTTATTTCGGAGACCGTAGCTTCGCCCTGCGTACTGTTTTGGACCAGCAATACTCACCTTATCTATTCTGGCGCTGTTCCTCACTTAATAGGTAAAGTTTAGGGCGAGGGTGACATTGAATCCTTACTGGCTGTTTTCGTGTACCACAATTGAGCGAAAAAAAAAAACAATAATCGAGGGAAACCAAAAAGTAACTTCCCTGGGACATGCTTCTGTTGCTGTTTTGTTCTTGTAACTGTCGGCTCTTCGGATCAATACAATCTTTCGATTCCAATGTCTTCTGGTAATTCTTGGGTATAATCTTTGGTCGCGGCGTCAGTTGTAACTCATTTCCTTTACTTTAATGTTCTCCAGGTATCTCTTGGGTCGAATCCTGGTCGCAGCAACCAATTCTAAAACCGTATCTTCATCCCACTGGACCCACAAGAACGGCCGTTTGTCCGGTAGAATTCAGTATTACAGGTTAGACACAAGACTCCGATTCCCAATGTTAATTCGAAGCCACCCTCCTGTAAGCAGGCATGATTTTTCTGGAATAGCACATCGGGTTATCCTGTTGCAGGAATAGAAGCAGAACGGTTTTAAAAAATGATATGGGCGTACATGGCGCCGTTCAAGTTTCGTTCACAAACAATAAAAGGGAGCAAGGGTTGTAATTTATACTACCATACGCTATGATACCAGGGATTGAACCAGTGTGACGGTGGCGAACATACACAGGAAAGATTCCAAGCTACCATTAGTTTACGTCATTAAGTATAAAAAACTCAAAATGAAAATGACCATCACTTGAATGAAGGCATGAAGCCCTCTGATTCCATTACGGAATACTATCGAAATCCACTCGATCCCACAGGTCACGGTTTCGTAACACAGTTGAAGACTAAATCTGACGAGCGGCACGTGTAGCCGTCGTTCTGAATACAATCTAAAATCATTTCTAAACAGTTCGAGTTGATGTTTTTCTCACGGGGCCATATCGTTTATGATGATATTAAAATATTTTGTATGTCGTATGGTCTGTTATTGCTACTGTTAATCTGTTGATCAACCTAATCTAAGGTGTAAGAATATTCATTTAACTACAACCGACGAACATCGAATCATCATATAATGTGACATATCCAACAAACTCATATACAGGCGGTGTACTGGTATGAGTGTTACTACATCACAAGGTGGTTAAAAACTTTAAAACTTTAATCAAGATATTTACCAGCATTCTCATAGTGTTCTTTTAATGCCATGTTCCTTCAGATGTCTTTATTCTCCGTGAATTGCCATTGCATTCACCACAGTTTGGAATTCTGAAAAATCCTTTATTTACAGTGATTTTCAATCAAAGCTAGTCATGTCTAACCTACTATTTAACCCATAACTGGGTACACAGAACAAATCAGCATCGTTCTTCAGAGTGCCGCAATTGTATCTTCCGTACATGTACATATGATTAAAACGTAGTGAGGCTATATCTGTTTGCATTACTGAGCAATGTTAGCATAGATATGTGCATATACGCTTTAGTCTTTATATATATATATATATATATATATATATATATATATATATATATATATATATATATATAATTGTATCGTTAAATTGATGTCCATGAAGACAGATGCGCCATTTTGACTGCGGAACTGCAATTAAGCAATTACAGCCAATCGAGCAACTGCATCGAAAAATGTCAGGTTAGAAACGAGTAAAAATAAAAGTCAACTAATTCTATTCGACCGACTCCTTAATGCATCATACAGGCGGGTATGGTGGGTGAAGAATCGAGGTATTTGCCTGCTCTTTTCCGCCGTCATCTCCACACTCATCACAACATCGCCCATCATTTGACCCGGACATTTCACTGAACAAAATAGTTGACTGGAATGACAAGAGTTAATTCCACGATTATCTTTCTGGGGGCAAAAAAACACAAACTGGGTCAACTGGTTTTCAATTAGTTCGGACCAGGTTTAGAAATTAAGCGTCTATCTTTCTCTGGTGATAGATTCGCTACAAAGGCTGCACCCCCCTCCCCGACCGAGCGCGCCTCTTTGTAATTGTTTCAGTATTCTCGTTGCAAATCTCATTGTTAAATGCTGTCAACTGCGCATTTAGAGTTTTTTTCTTCGCCTATTTCGTAAAAATTCGAAAAGCAGTCGATTAAATTTTTACATGTTTTAAAATTTAGAGCCAAGGAGAAAACAAGAAAGCTCATAATGACGCCCTACAAAATACAAATCAATATTTGTTTTTCATGCAAATATACCAAATATGAAATGTAAAGCAGATTAATTTATTTAAACTTTGTTTTGAATAATAAAAGAAATGTACAGAAACACTGAGACGAATTTTCCTCTATGATACCTAAACTTTATGAATTTAACCGCAGTACTGGATTGGTGGTAACGTCTTATGATTTAACTGCAAGTTCTATGCTAACAGTTTCTTCTCGCACACTTCACGCTTGTGCAACTCTCTTCCAGTTCCTTGATTTCCGCTCAACTTTGATCGCTAACAATTTAAATGCAATGTCAGTCGTTGTCGCTTGTCTTCTTAATTCCTGTTCTTTTATTGTTCTCTCTCCTTAACAGTGTTTTTCTCATATTCTTACACAATCAGTAAACTTTTGCATGTTAGCGGCTTTATTGCTTTGCTTGGAGTGAAATAATTAAAACAAAATCATCTGAGTCCATTGTGAAAATAAAATCTGAAACCTAAATATTTCCAGAAATTGGCACTGAAAAAAGGTCAAATTGAGTGGGTTTGGGGTATGAAGATTGTGTTATGCTAGTCTTTCAAAAGACCTGCTTTGAAAATCGGTATTCACAACCATGACCTTTTTATCTGGACTGGAACACCGGCCACAATAACGCCCTGACATTAAAGATCAAACTCACTGGAGAAATTTCTCTTACATGTGTTCCGATTATTATAGGAAATCTTTGTGTGTGTGTGTGTGTGTGTGTGTGGTGTGGTGTGTGTGTGGTGTGTGTGTGTGTGTGTGTGTGTGTGTGTGTGTGTGTGTGTGTGTGTGTGTGTGCACGCGCGTTGGGAGCAGTTATTTTACTAAACTTATCTTACTCTGGCACAAGGATATGAAACTGTGACACGCAATGATGACTGATTTCACTAGCAACAATCAATAAGATTAGTCTGTAAATTCTTAGCTCTACTGCAGTCACCCTGTATGTATTTGTGCACTTAGATGTCGCATAACAGTTTTTATGAACTTATAAGATTCTTCGTTGTTTTTAAAGTTGAGAAACATATCTGACTGAACAACTTGATGAGGATGGAATTTATGCACTGTCCGCTTTCTTGATAGGATTGGCATTTATCCGTTTATAACCGAGGATCGGCCAATTCTTGAACTGACGAAAACTGACGAAAACTGACGAAGTTGCTCACAACGAACATTCAGGATACAATCGGCGGATTTTATAAAGATTATACATCATTTACATTTTTCGTTGATGAAAATTTGGAACAATTCGTTCATTTTAGCCAGATTTTTCGTTATTTATTTCTATTCCACCGTTCCTGGATGACAAAAGAGTTATTTTGATAATGGAATTTCATATTAAATTGCCTTACAACAAATCAGTATAAAGTCCAGGTGTGGAGAAAAGCGGCCAACGGAATAACTCCCCAGTAATAAGACTTTTCGCTTTGAAACTTTCTGCACATTTTCTTTATGTCATAATTTTATTCACACTGGAGAAATTTCACATACACACACGTGTGGGTGTGTGTGTGTGTGTGTGTACACACACGCACACGAACACATACGCGCACACGTACACACTCTCTGCTGTTGTCTTTTATTTCATTTTGCTCTAATATGGCGTCTAATTTGTTCAGACCATGTAGATTCGAGAAGGACGCTTGCTGTCATTCAACTCCAACGATAACTGCTATAACTCTGAACAGCAAATGTAAGAATATTTTTAGTTTACAGGTTACACTATTTGCATTCGGATTATTGCCGTCATTTTTGTTGTTTTTATACACAACATTTTGGCCGTTGTGCTCTCCGGCCCTCAGAAGGTGAATATCGATCCGGGTAACCTACAGGGAATTCCGAACTGAATCCCTTATTTAAGCTACGGGATTAGACTTTTCTCGTTCTACTGTCCATGTCTAGGGATATTTCGTTTAGTTATTATTATTAATACTGTTCAGTTATTGTTCGTTCTGTTTCCACTGCGTCCAAATACACACTTCCCGGCCCAGGGATTGAACTCAATTACTATGTCACCAAAGTCACTAGGCTAAAATAGAATACAATCCCTGAAATATGACATTGACTAAAGTTTAATCTCGGATGGCACAAAGTTACAGTGAGAATCAAACTCCTTATAAAATAGTTGCGAGATCAGCGCGATGACAATGTTTTGTCTCTCTTTTCTTCTGGCTCTTAAATCCGATGGAATTAGATTTAAATTTTAAGCCTTGAAAAATTAGTTGAGAAAATTTAATCCTTTAATCAGATAATCGTTGACTATTTTCTATTGCCTTCCTTTCTGGATTATGTCGGGTCCGAACCGATCTGAAAATTCTTGTTTCATATGATGAAATGAATGATTTTTACTCTGCTATATTTGAACA